TATAAAGAGCAAAATTTTAAAGTTTGCAGATGACACTAAACTTGGGAATGTGGTAAACAGTGAAGAGGATGGTAGTAGACTGCAGGAGGAAATAGACAGACTGGTGAAATGGGCATATACATGGCAGATGAAGTTTAATGCAGAGAAGTTTGAAGTGATGCATTTTGGAGGAAGAATGAGGAGAGGCAATATACACTAATTGGTACAGTATGAAAGGGGTTCAGGAGCAGAGAGACCTTGGGGTTCCATACACAGGTCTTTGAAGGCAGGACAGGTTGATAGAGCTGTTAAAAAAACATATGGGATCGTTGGCTTTCTAAGTAGAGGCATAGAGTACAAAAGCGAGGAAGTTCTGCTAAACCTTTAAAAGTCACTGGTTAGGCCTCAGCTGGAGTATTATGTCCAATTCTGGGCACCACACTTTAGGAAGGATATCAAAGCCTTGGAGAAGATGCAGATGAGATTTATTAGAATGATACCAGGGATGAGGTACTTGGGACGCAGTGGCTGAACATTCAGACAGGATCTCTGACAATGCCACATACCTCTAGCACTGCACTGGAGTGTCAGCTTAGACTTGTTTTAAGTCCCGATGTGAGGCGAGAGTGCTACCACTGAGCCACAAGTTCCTCAGCATTTATAACCATTGTAAATCTTTATGATTGAACTCTTGCTGCACAAGTGGAGAATGGGTGAAATATTGGAAGGTGGGGTACATGTTCCTAAAGAGTGGGGTCATCAAAAAGGGAAGTTAAACAAGTGTCAGGTTGGTTGTTGACTCATTGCTCAGTATGTGCAGGGAGTGGATCCATTCATTCCCCTGGCACCTCCCTACCTCCCCGACCTCCTCACTCCCCAATCCACTAACCGGCACCTCCGCTCGATTGGAACTGATCTCATGCTCGTCACTGTGCTTACGGCCACTTTCCTAGCTCCCCCCAGCTAGGAGTTAGGCTCTACCCACTGTTAAGCACTCTGAGATGCTACCCTGCCTGGAGGGTGTTATATAAGTGCAATTTGTTGTATGTGCAGTCAGTGTGAGGTAGCACCACTTTCTCCAAAATAGTGGAAAAAGCAAATAAGATCCTGAAGTGGGTTTTGATACCCAACAGAGTCAAGCTGACAAATGAAGCTACAAAACTAGGAGTACTAGTTCATTGTTCAGCAGGACTATAGATTTCACCTGTTTTCAAACCTTCCTTCTGTCGCCAAGAGACCACGTAAAATGAGGAAGGTTTTGGTGAAAGGAAGCCATGCCGGACGGCAGAATATTGGAATACTGGAAGCTTTGAGCATAATTAAAGAACAGTGATACGACTTATTCATGAATACGCAATGTGAGATGGACAAATAAGTCACTGGAATCACTACCACCATACTGTGAATCAACCACAACAGCAACTTACATTTGTATGGAGCCTTTCACATGGGACAGCGTCTCAGAGCACTGCATAGGGGCGGGTTGGACTCCAAGCAAATAATAATTATAATATAGCGTTGCATTTGGTATAGTGCCATATCAAGTTGGAAGGACATCTCAAAATGCTTAATATGATATACTATAAAGTGTAGGTCAACGCAGCAGCACAATTACACACAGCAGTATCCCACAAACAGCCATGACAGAAATGATCAATTATATTTGGGGTATTGTTGGCCAGGACACTAGGAGAGAGAAACTCCCTTCTCTTTTCAAATAGTGCCATGGGATCTTTAACATCCATCTGAACAGCCAAACGGGACCTTGGTTTAACATTTCATCTGAAGGACAGCACCTCCGACAATGCGACACCCCCAGCACTACTTTGGAGTGTCAGCTGAGACAATGTGAGCTCAGGAGAAGGGGAAGTGATAATTAGCACAGTCAAAGAGGGTAGCCTTAAATTGGGATTTAAAGATGGACAGAGAGATGAGGTGGAGGGACTGATGCAGGGAGTAATGGAGGTTAGGAAAATAGTACGTCACAGCGTTCATTCATTGGTATCAAAATTTCTCTTCAAATTCGAGTCTAAGCACTCTGAGATGCTTCCCTGCGTGAAGAGCGCAATATAAATGCAAGTTGTTGTTGTTAAGCTGCCACTGTCTTCAGACAATGTTGAGCTGCACAACAATAAGGCCAGACTTTTGATTGAGATGTTGCATTGATTATCTCAATGCAAGACTAGTGTATATAGTCTTGCAGTGTAGTGATTAGCACACTTGCCTCACAAGCGAGTGGACCCAGGTTCAATTCCTGGGCGGGGAGAAACTTCAGGCAAGTTTCCTTACTCCACGTGCAATAAATAGGAACTCGGTTGTTAGTCGAATGGCAGATCACACTCCACGTTTCACCCACAAAATACACAGTCAATTCACTTTACAATAGATTCCGTGAAGAACTTTGAGATATCCAATGACATAATAAGGCGCTATATCGAACGCAAGGATTATTATTATTATTATCTCAGATTGGAAATCAAAAAGGGCAGCTCCATGATGTAATGGACATACCTCACAGACTAGGAGCTCACTGCTGATCCTAGCGTAGGCTCAATGGGAAGGTTCATTTGATGCTGGCTTTGGCGTTGGAAACCAGCCAGGGTTTCCTGCACTTTTTCCCTGCACTTGCTATGTGTGTGTGGGGGGGGGGGCAAGCGATGGGGAGAGATCAGGTTTGAGTGACCTGCCGACACTGTTTGCCATTAGCTCTCACCTCAACATTGGTCCGGTACCTGCACCCCGGCAAGAGGAGGTCAGGGGCACAGAGAAGGTCAGACCAGGGGCATAGAGGTGGTCAGACCAGGGGTAGATAGAAGGCCAGACCAGGGACAGAGAGGCATGGAGAGAAAATTGGAAAATAATTCATTTTTGAAAAAAGTAATATACTTTGACTTTTACAATTTGTTTTGATTGTAAAACACAATTGTTTTCCAGCACCTTGGGATGTCCACCCAACATGAAAGGCGCTTTACAAATGTGATTTTGTTGTTTGTTGAAGCTTTGAGCAGGAAAACCCAGATGATATTTTACGCACAGCACGTTTCCCACAAAGAATCACGAGGAAAGAAACAAAATGATTTACCTTTTGAATCAGGTCAAGGGATCACTCAGGGTCGATTAAACAACAACCTGCATTTATATAGCACCTTCACGTGGGGTAGAGTCTTAGCGTGCTTAACAGTGATTCCAAAGGACAGCACCTCTGACAATGCAGCATTGCACCAGAGGACCTGCACTCCCAAAGTCAACTTAATTGGTTTTATTTAAGGATCACTAATGGTGGGGGGAGGTTAGGTGGAGTCTCCAAGTAACTGAACTGGCTCCACACTAACCTCTCACACTGACTCCGCTCCCACACTAGCCTCTCACAAGTCGTATGTCAGAATCGAGTCAGCCCTCTATTTTTGCAAAATCGAATCAGAAAATAAAACAAAACACAATCTCTGCAAAATGTTTTGCTGCGTTCAGAGATGTGTTTTCAATACAGGACCCTCACCTGTGCTTAGGCAGAGATGATCAGTCTTTACAGGTGTGGATTAGGACAGGTTATCTCGAGGTGAGGGTGGGCGAGTGAAGGGCGGGTGTGAGATGGAGGGGGGGAGGGGTCGCATTGTAAGAGGGTGGGTGTGAGATGGAGGGGGCGCGGGTCGCATTGTAAGAGGGCGGGTGAGAGCTGGGGTGTGGGGAGAAGGTGAGAGAATGGGCGGTGCTGTAAGGGGGCTGAGTGATTGGGCTGCGCTGTAAGTGGGTTGTGTGATTGGGCCGCGCTGTATGGGGGGTGCTGTGTGATTGGGCCGCGCTGTATGGGGGGAGCTGTGTGATTGGGCTGCGCTGTATGGGGGGGTGCTGTGTGATTGGGCCGCGCTGTATGGGGGGTGCTGTGTGATTGGGGCCGCGCTGTATGGGGGGAGCTGTGTGATTGGGCCGCGCTGTATGGGGGGGAGCTGTGTGATTGGGCCGCGCTGTATGGGGGGTGCTGTGTGATTGGGCCGCGCTGTATGGGGGGGCTGTGTGATTGGGCCGCGCTGTATGGGGGAGCTGTGTGATTGGGCCGCGCTGTATGGGGGGAGCTGTGTGATTGGGCCGCGCTGTATGGGGGGTGCTGTGTGATTGGGCCGCGCTGTATGGGGGGGGGGGGGCTGTGTGATTGGGCCGCGCTGTATGGGGGGAGCTGTGTGATTGGGCCGCGCTGTATGGGGGGAGCTGTGTGATTGGGCCGCGCTGTATGGGGGGGGGCTGTGTGATTGGGCCGCGCTGTATGGGGGGAGCTGTGTGATTGGGCTGCGCTGTATGGGGGGGTGCTGTGTGATTGGGCCGCGCTGTATGGGGGGTGCTGTGTGATTGGGCCGCGCTGTATGGGGGAGCTGTGTGATTGGGCCGCGCTGTATGGGGGGGGGCTGTGTGATTGGGCCGCGCTGTATGGGGGGGAGCTGTGTGATTGGGCCGCGCTGTATGGGGGGGCTGTGTGATTCGGCGGCTGTATGGGGGGGGCTGTGTGATTGGGCCGCGCTGTATGGGGGGAGCTGTGTGATTGGGCCGCGCTGTATGGGGGGGGCTGTGTGATTGGGCCGCGCTGTATGGGGGGAGCTGTGTGATTGGGCCGCGCTGTATGGGGGGAGCTGTGTGATTGGGCCGCGCTGTATGGGGGGAGCTGTGTGATTGGGCCGCGCTGTATGGGGGGAGCTGTGTGATTGGGCCGCGCTGTATGGGGGGGAGCTGTGTGATTGGGCCGCGCTGTATGGGGGGAGCTGTGTGATTGGGCCGCGCTATATGGGGGGAGCTGTGTGATTGGGCCGCGCTGTATGGGGGGAGCTGTGTGATTGGGATGTGAGATGGTGCGGGCGGGGAGTGTGGAGGTGACATCAATGGAATCGGGTGACATAAAAGCGGCGGCTCAGACAGCGGTCGGAGGTGCGGATGTGCGGCGGTGGTCCTTGTGCTGTGGGTGTGCGCCGCCGACCGTGAACTTGCGCTTCTCTGGTCTCTGATTCATCCGTTTGATCCCTTCTCTCTCTCTCTCGATGGTTCACCTGTCGCTCTCCCCGGACCTTCCCTGGGAGGAGCAGGTACAGGAGGCCGAGAGGAGCAGCATGAGGAGTGGGCAGAGCTCGCCCTCCCCCCGGCTCCGGGAGCGGGAGCGGGGCAGCCCGAGCCCCAGCGCGGCCCCCACTGCCCTCAGCCCTTATTACTTGGCTTACGAGACCTACATCGATAACGGTATGATCTGCCTCAAGCACAAAATCCGCAACATAGAGAAGAGAAAGGTAAGTGGGGTCTGACTGACTGACTTAGCAATCCTTTTTTTTCCCCCTCTTCTCTTCCCCCCCCCCCTATTATTTCCCTCCTTTTGCCCCCCCCTCCCCCCCCCCTCCCCCCCCTCCTCCCCCCCCCTTCCCCCCCCTCCCTCTCTCTCCCCTCTCCCCCCCCTCTCCTTCCCCCCCTTTCCCCTGTGTTTGCACTCCCCCCCCCCTCCTCCCTTTTCCCTGTGTCTGCATTCCCCCCCTCTCCGCCCCCCCCCCCATCCCCTGTGTCTGCAGTCCACCTCCTGGAGTCACTAGCAATCACCCCCCCACCCCAACCCCCAAAAGCCTTTTAAATCCTTGCTCTGTGCCCTTTTGCTCTTTGCAATGCAACTTTAATTGTGTATATATTTGTGTTTGAATTTATCTATTTATTTTTCTTGTCAATAATACTGGCGCACTGCTTAAACACCCCCCTGTTCCCTGCACCTTTTTATGTTTAGTAAAACGATGTCTTGCTATTTTGCACTGCAATGCTCTTTAAGTGTGTGTTGTTTAAAAAAAAATACAACATCTGTAATCATCTACCAAACCACCTGGCTGGGCTGTGTTATTTATAAGTTGCCAAGTGCATGTGATGAAATGTAGTGAGCATTGAAATAATCCTAATGTGAGGGATCTGATGAAGTGTTTTGGGTGGTGGGTGGGGGGGATGTCTGATGTATTGCAGTCTGTAGAGGGTTGGCAGCCCATTCTAAGTGGATTCTCTGAAATTATATCGCCTCTGATCGGTTTTATTTATGAACGAGACTGGATTGCTTTCTAGCGGGATGGGGGTAAAATAACGGTGTTGTTTATCACTTGAGATCAACCTGTGAAGTTTTGACCATTGCGTTTTATTGATTAGTGGTGGTAACGCTTTTTGGGGGGTTGGTGGGGGGGGGAGAGAGAGGGTGATCTGGAAGCTTACAAAACATAAAACGTTGCTTGCCCTGGAATCCAGCAGCTTATCTTAGCTTCCAGTACATGGAGTAGGTGTTATGGTTATTTTTTGCTTTGTCATTTGTGATCATGCTGTATCCTCTTTGTCTTTCCTTCCCCCTCTTCTTTCTACTTACTTTTGCCCCCCTTATCTCATTCCCCTCCTTCCCTCCCATCACCCCCACGCTCCACTCACTCTTTTTCCCCTTTCCCAGGGAAAATTGGACGACTATAAAACACGTCTACAGCGAGGAGAGGAGCTGAACCAGGACCAGTTGGTATGTAACTTGTTTGGACGACAGATCTGAGAGTGATCACTGGGATGAGAATGTTACTCAGAAGCGCATCTGTTCTTGGGTCAACTCAGTAACTCACTTTTAAATATAATACAAGTCCAAACTATCTCTTCACACCATCGTGAACCTTTTTTTTCAAGAAAGAGAAATCTTCCTGCAAACTCTAGATTTGAAAATTGTCCCTCTGGAGATTGTTTGCAGGCAATAAGGGCTGGGGGTTGCATTGGAATCAGCTGAAAGGCATTAACTCTGTGGCTTAAGTCAACATCAGCAGCTGATGATGATAAAGCTGTTGCACAAGGGCTTGGGAAGCAGAAGCCTTGTTTCTGCTACAAATGTGCTTTTTAATGTTGAATCCTGTAGTGTATTGGCGAGAGCACTTGCCTTGCAGCGAGAGGACCTGGGTTTGGACACAACAAAACTTATTAGGTAAGTTTTCTTATTCCACACACCTCAGTTTACCTACCAGTAAGTACAAACCTGGTGATTAGTCAATTGGGGATTGCTTTCTGGGGATAATCTCTCATTAACATAATAATTTGGTCATTCAGTCCAGAGCTGCTTGCGGGACATTGCTATGCGCAATTGGCTGCTGCAATTTGCCCACAAAATAGTAGTTCACTTTATGTTCTGTAAAGTGCTTTGAAATGTCTCAACAACATGATGATAGCACTATTAAAAGTTTTTATTATTATTTAATGTCTCTAATGTGACTATGTTTGATAATTGATATCCAGTTGGTTGAATTCCAAAAACAGTTGTTGTTCCTGGCAGAAGGACATCCCAAGGCACTGAACATCCTGAGCAGCGAGTTGGAAACAGAAGTGTAGAGGCAGGGGGTGGAGGAGGGAAGATGACTGAGGGCTTGGTCGAAAAGCAAGGTCTTAAGATGGGCCTTGAAGGAGGCAAGGCAGGGACGAAGCAGAGGGGCTCCTGGATGGAGTTCCAGAAGGTGGGAGCAGAAAGCCTGAAGGCCTGATTGCTGATAGTGGAGCAGTTAGGGTGTGGGATATTGAACTGGCCAGTGTCCGCAGAGCACATTGAATTGCCTCAATTTTGATGACAGCAAATTGACCATGTCTTGCCACTAACTTTTATTTGGACACGTCTGCACAAAAGACTAATTGCCAAGCCTACACTTGACAATAAATCCTCTTTGAGCCATCCTGACCTGAAAGGTGCTGTGTCAAATGCAAGGGTTGTTGCTGTGAGTTGTGAATTGTTTCCCTGACCATTTGCCATATTAAAACCCAATTTGGATCCCACTGTCGGTATCCTCCATGTGCACTTCAATAACATGTCTCATGGTGATCAGTGGAGCATCATTCTTCATTGTCAATTGGGAAATTTGAAGCACAGATGGCAGCCCTCCCTCGTCTCCTCTTAAACCATGCAAAGCCCTAACATGTAGAATGGTCCTTGCTGAACAAGCAGCGGCAACCTTTCCAATGGCGAGCTATGAAGCTTTAGCTGACTAAACTGCAGTAGTTACACTGATGCACACTCTGCAGTTCCCAAGCATTAGTTCTCCCTAACCTGTTCTTGTCACTGAATGCTCTCTGGAGTTCTGGAAACAAGGTACAGGAAGAGAGCGCACATTCTTTTCTAATACTCGGGAGTTTCCATGTGTAGGTGGTACTCCTACGTGGAACTGTCAAACTGTTTTGGAGACTTTTAAGCTTGCTGATAGATTTCTGCATGTGTCGGACACCCGGCTGACCGAATTAAAAACAAATTGGCTTAGAGAGCAAACCTGTGGATGAGTTCAGTGAATGGACCAGATAATCAAGGTTGGTAGCTGTCTTGTCTCTATTCTTTTGGCTTCACAAAGTAAATATTGAGAAGCAGTTTAGCTTGCAGTACAATGGAGTTGTTGGTTTTATTTCCTTTACAACTTCTCAATTTGCTTTCCTGCCATTTATTCCCAGGAGCTCAAACCCACTTTTCCTTCCAATGCAATCGTTAACATTTCTATCCTCGCTTGTCTTTCCTCTTTGTACTGTGAGATGTAATGTTTCTTTCCAGTGGTAAATTGATGCACTTGTTCCGACCTTCACAGGAGGCAGTTCACAAGTATGATGAAGTGGTTCACAACCTGGAATTTGCCAAGGAACTGCAGAAAACCTTTGCGGTGCTCAACCAAGATGTAAGCATTGGACAGTTTGCATAATGTCACGGATGGGTAGTCAGGGAGGAATGGGAGCGTCCTTCAGGATTGTCGTCCTTTGGTTGAGATGTTAAACCAAGGTTCTGCCTGTCTGTTCAGGTGGATGGTAAAGATCCCGCAGCATATCTGAGAAGACTTTCTCTCCCGGTGTCCTGGCCAACAATCCCCCAAATAAAATTGGTCACTCACTCCATGGCCATTTGTGGGACAGCCATCTTGCTGTGCACAAATTGGCTGCTGCGTTTGCCCAGAATACAGTCTCTGAACTTTAACAGTAATATCCAGTGATGCTTTTAGTGATGTCCTGATGTGAAAGGTGTGATACCAAATGTAAGTTATTTGTTGTTAAGGTACTTGGCTTGCTGTTGCTGCCATTCAGTGTAACTTGCATGTATGTGCTGTAGACTGGAGAAGCAGGGATTGGGGTAGATCATTTTCAACATCATCACGACGTGTCAGGTGTTGGATCCATCAGATATTGCTATAAGGTTGTATTGATTAATTTTCCTTGCTGGCTTATCTGTTTGCTTTCAATGAGATTCTCTGGAGAATTTAGCAAGTTGCCACTTTTGCGATCTTGAAGGATTAAGTGGGGTCAGAATGCATTTCTGTGAATATCTTATTTCAGTTATTGCACTTTGTTTTTTCTTAAAGTTGAACATTTTGTATTTTTTTGGAAAAAAAACAGCTGCTGAAAGTGCAGAGAAAATCTGTGAAACGTGAACAGCTTCTGAAAACCGAAGCTGAGAAGAAGCGCTTGTGTGCAGTGCTACACGTTCGGTACATATTGCTGCACTTTAGCCAGGAGCACGTTCAGAAGGACTTCAGAGAAGGCTTCAATGGGGCATTAGTCCTTCCCCGCAAAGAAATTGGATACCTTAAGGAGTTCTGCAAAATTGTATACCCTGAAAGGAATCAACAGATAAGGTAACTTATCAGAACTCTGGTGTTCAGGTGGTGAAATAAGTGATGAGGAGTGCATTGGATTCTGATCTGCTGATTGTGACTTGTTCTATTTGACACCTGGAGCAGCTAGAGTTGGTTGGTGGCCTTGTTTAATGATTGGTGGATGTCGCGGGGCAGCCTGGGCATTTTTTTTAGGAAAAAGCAATTTGGGCCAAAAAAAGCAATCTATCCCATTTTCTCATTGTTTAGCATAACTGCAGTCTCTTCTGACTGAAGCTCAGCTGTTAAAACAGCCTTTTTGTTGACATTTCACAAGCCTATTGCTGCCTAACTTATTAGGCTGAGCTTGGGTGTCAGCCTTGCTCAGTTGGTTGTGCGCTCGCCTCTGAGACAGAAGGTCACAGCCCAATGACTGAGCTCATTATATCAGCTGACTCTGCAGTGTGAGGGGAGCAAGATTAAATAATTCTTATATTTGATATAGCTTGATCATCTTGTCAAGACGTTTCAAAGCATTTTATGGGATATACTGTAAAGTGGCTTTTGAAGATGCCCCATTCAAAGATGAGGCAATTTCTCCTGGTGTCCTGGCCAGCAATCATTTCATGCCTGTTTGTGGGACATTGCTGTGTAAACCGGTTATTGGATTCACCCTCAATTACAGTCCCTGCACTTGACTATCTATCCTGTGAAGCTTCTTAAGACATTTATTGACATGATAAGGTATTGTATCAAATGTAAGCATTATTTTATTCAGTTTATTTTCAAAATCAGCAAAGAGCTTTGAGATGTCCTCCCAATGTGAAAGGTGCTTTATAAATGTTCATGTTTTAAAAAGAAGTCCTTCCAATGCAGTAAGACATATATAGAGGCCTTTCATGTTGGGAGCACACCTCAAAGCGCTTTGACTGCTGGCTTTGCACCTGAACTGGGCATGAGGATGGGAAAGAGGTCTTCAGATTGATTTTGAGTGGAGGGATGGAGTTCCAGAGAGGGCAGAAAGCAGATCCGCTGTCTGATCACCTGGTAACTGCAGGGAGGTGGAGGAGGGAAGAGATACGTAATTGAGTGCCCAGCATTTCAGTGTTCACAATCAAATCTGACCAATGCTGAAAGAATTCTTTGCATCTGTTAATTGCTTTAAGCAGAAGTGATTTGAGCTTTGTTTTGTTTCTTGAAGACTTGTGGTTTCTTGGTGAGACAACCTTGTTCTACGTGCCAGTTCGAGTAATGTCCTGAGCAAGACAACTGAAGGTGAAGGCAATGGAGAGACTTTGTCCTTTTTATGGGATTGTGAGCACACAACCTACATGTATCTTGCGCGCTCCACATAAATAGCATCACGGAGCGCTTGATGTGAGCAAGCTGAAATAATGAAGGATCGAGTGACTATCTTGCAGCTCTTCTCTGAGTTGCTACATTTAATTTTTTTTGTTTCAATCTCTTGTGTACTTGGCAGCCTGGAAGATCAAATGGATTTGGTTTCGTGTCACCTCTGGGACCTGCTGGAAGGAGTTGAGAAGACAGTGGCTGGTACCACCTGTAAGTTCACATGTATCCAGCTATCTTTTTTGCCATTGAGAGCACTATCAAGCTTTCCATCTACTTGTCCAGCTAGGACCACCCTACAAGTTTCGTTAAAGCTTTGGCTTGCAGGGTTAATAGTAGCTGAGTGGGAAGAATCCCAGTCCTCAGTGACTGGTCTGCCCCTCAATGGTCCTTCTGATTAAGCGGGCTGTCATCAGCAGGACCTGCCTGGTTCAGGAACTGGACTAGAGACCACCACAGAGGGTGGACTCTATTCTGACATTCTGTTGCCAAGCATGTCACCTTGGAACCAGTTAAGCTCTCAAAGGAGACCGCTCAACCCCCCCCCCCCCCCCCCCCCCCAAAGGAGGACTTTCATGAGTTGATCTTTTGACAAGCATGGGTTAGAGCCTGGGCTTGGTGATTGGCAGGGATCAAGAACTGACTTCCTGGTGGCCACCATTAGGTGAGTGGCTGAGCAGTGGCCACTGATCCAGTGACTGCTGGATATCTTCTTCCAGATAAACAACTGAAGGTCGTCATCAAAAGGCTGATGGTTTGCAGCTACTTTAACAGTGTCCCTGTCCCTCATAATGGGCTACAGGAGGAGGAAGAGGAGCAGCTGATAAGACCACTGAAAGTCCTGACATCCACACCAAAACCACCGCCCATGAAGGAGTCTGGTGAGTCTTATCAGTGTCTTTTATGTGGACTGGATATGGTTTGCAGTTTTGATGACTGGGACTTGGGCACCTTCCACCTCTTGGCTTTTTTTGTGGGGGGTGGGAGGCAGCCAAATGTCTGACACATACAGAAACCCATAACCAAGCTTAAAAGTAACCAAAAAAATGCACACTCCACCTCTTCACTGAGCCAGTCCGGAACCTTGATGGCTTATTTGACCCTCAACTGTCCTTTCTACCCCACATCTGTGCCATGACCCGCTCTGCATTCCCCCTGCCTATTCAACATCACCCAGCCACTGCCTCTCCCCTCAGTCTGATGAGGACCTCATCCATACATTTGTTACATCTAGGCTTGACTAAGCCAACTCCCTGCTTGTCGGCTTTCCCAACTCTTCCCTCCACAAGCATCCAGAACTCTGCAGCTTGTGTTCTCTCCTACACCAGGTACCATGACCCCATCACCCTCACACTTGCCCGGGTCCAATATGGCCTCCCCGTATCCCATATTCGTGCTTCAAAGGTCCTCCACAACATTGCTCCTTCCTACGTGTGTGCTAACTCCATATCGACCTCTTGATTGGCTCCGCTTCCTCCTACCAGCAGGCTCTGGCTGCTCCACCGGCCCACCCCACCATCAGCGGTCAGGTCGTCAGCCTCTCTGCCCCACCCTTTGGAACTCCATCCCATGGTCCCTACATCTTGATCCCTTCCTTGCCTCCTTCAAGGCATGTCTCAAGATCCTCCTCGTCGACCACCCTCCTACCCGACCTGACCTCCACTCTTCCTGATCCCAGTCGCCTGCTCAGGTCCAAACTGACTGTCCTGCACCTTGGCACTTTCTTCCGATGTGAAAGGCGCCACACCAATGTAATTTTTTGTTGTTGCGGGTTTCACATAACTTCACATAGGGTAGATATTTTGATATTGTGCCTTATCACACTGCTGAGACAAAGCATTACGCCAGATTTACTGTAAAGCACAGTAACTATTTTGTGGGTAAACACGGCAGTCAATTTGCATATCCATGGATGGTGCTGCCAATGCCTGAGATGTGGAGGTCCTGATGGGCCAAATCGGGAGGGTTTCAGTCCTGTTGAGGTTCAACTGGAGACCATTAGCTCTCATGCAGGACTTGATGTCTGACAGACATTCTGGAGTTGAGAGTGGAGGCAGAAATATAAAATTGGGTGCCATTTGCATACATATGGAAGTTGACCCTATGTCTGTGGATGATATCATTAAGAGGGAGCATGTAGATATTTGAGAGGACCAAGGATGTAGCCCTGAGGAACATTGTGAGCTGAAAAATCTTGCACAATTCCTTTTCATTGGGGAAACCTGGAGCCTTCTCCTTTGTTAACCTTCAGTGTGGGTTTACCCTGAGCTGTTCTGTTTTGCTCTCTTCTTTCTTGGCTGAGCTGCTGAGTATTGGAGAGACTAGAAATGTTGAGTGATGAGGCTTGACTTGTATTGATCCAGTGAAGCTGTGTTGTAACTTTTTTNCCTTTTTTTTCAGAATCTGATTTGCATTTTTTGTGCAGTGAGATGCAGCCAAGAGAGGTGAGGCAATGGCAGAGAAATACTGTTTCCATGCATCAAAATCCCCCTCCCTCCCATGGCAAGTGTCAACATGGACGGTTTAGTTAAATGTTATAGATCCCATGGCACTATTCAAAAAGAGAACGGAATTTTTCTCTCCTGGTGTCCTGGCCAACAATCTCCCAAATAAAATTGGTCACTTACTTCATGGTTATTTGTGAGTCATTGCTATGAGCAAACTGGCTCCTGTCTTTGGCCAATAAAATAGTCAATCTTTCTTACAGTATATGCTGCAAAGCCCTTTCAGATATCTGTGTGACATGATGTGGTGCTATATCAAGGATTGCAAGGATTATTATTCTGACATGAGCACCCTTATTGTACCACCTCTTTAAAGCTGGGGAGCTGAGACACTCAAAGCTTCAAGTCAATTTTTGGATGTGTGTCCATGCTCCTGGCGTTCAATGGTCATCTCCATCCCTGTTAAAACTACTGTGGTGATGGGCTTGGAACACGTGAAAAAATAATTTTTTGCATTTGCAGACAGCAATGTCTTACAAACAGCCATGGAATGAGTGACCAATTTTATTTAGAGGATTCATTGGCTGAGAGGGAAACTCCCTTTTCAAATAAAGTCCACCTGAAGAGGCAGGATATTGGTATGAAGTGTGCGCGCGCAACAAAAAACAACAAAATCCTCTGCGCCCCCCCCCACCCCAGGGCTCAGAGCCCACCATGGTCCTGTTAGGTTGGCATAGGATAATGTGTCCATCCACCTGACCGCTCGCTCCCGGTCCCCGTTTGCGCAATATGGCTGCCGCTATGACCCGAGCCCCCTCATCCCCTCCCTCCACTCTACCCCCAAACCCTCCCCCCTCTGCATCTCTTCCGCTCTTTCCTCCTCTCTCTCCGTCCCTCTCACCTTCTATCCCCACTTGACCCTCTCTCTGTTCCAGCCTGGGAATCCTCCGCCGGGCTCACCGTGGCACTCGGCGTTGGCTGTCCAGCAGCAGCCACACCGACTGCCCCATTCCTCACCACTCTCGCCACCCACCCCGGACACAGACCCGGGGAGCCAACCTCTCCTCCCTTATCCCCACTTCCCCCACCCCTGCCTCACAACCGGGACCCCCCTCCCTCCCCACACACCCTTCTGTCAACCGCTCCATCCACATCGGACTACAAAATGTCCGCTTCCTCTGTAACAAGGCCCTGGTCATCAACGTTCTCAACCTGGCTCACCCCAGGCGACACCTTCCCACTCACGGAGGCCACGCCATCCGGCTACACCTCCCACCGCATCCCTCGCCCCAACCGCCGTGGCGGTGGTGTTGCCCTTATCTCAAGGACACCACTTGCCCTATCCCCCTACTCCTCTGGCTCTTTCCCCTCTTTTGAGCACCTCACCCTCTCCCACCCCTCCTTCCTCTCACTTAAAATCCTCCTCCTCTACCGGCCCCCTAAAACCTCTCCCACCTTTATCTCTGATATCTCAACACTTCTCACATCTCTCTGCCTCTGCTCTGATCGCCTCATCATCCTGGGCGACTTTAACCTGCACTTCACCCCCTCCTGCTCAATCTCCTCAGATTTCTCTTCCCTGCTCTCCTCGCTCAACCTCTCCCTCCACATCAACTCCCCCACTCACAGTCACGGCCACCCACTCGACTTGGTGATCACCCGGGGCCTCAGTGTCTCGGATGTCACCATCACCGATAAGGCCATCTCCGACCACCACTTCATCTCCTTCACCACCTCCACCCCCTCCCCACCTCCACCAGACCCACCACCATCTTCTACCGCCCCTGGAAGAAGTTACCCCCTCAATCCCTAACCCCTGCCTTGGAGTCCTCTGAACTCCTCTCCCTCTGGCCTTCAACCCTCACCGACCCCTCTTCTGCTCCCCTCCTCCTCCACAACACCCTCTCCTCCACACTTGACACTCTTGCTCCTATCACCTCCTGTACTGTCTCCTACTCTCGCTCCTCCCCCTGGTTCACCACCCACCTCCGCTCACTGAAGAGCCAGGTGCGGGCCGCTGAACGCACCTGGTCAAATCTGGCCTAACGGTCCACCGACAAATCTGGCTGGACCTCCTCAAAATCTACCGCTCCACTCTAGCCTCGGCCAAATCGTCCTTCTACTCCAGGATAATCCTGGAGGCGAAGGACAACCCCAGGCTACTGTTCTCTACCACATCCCAACTCCTCCGTCCCCCCGCCACCCCGCGCAGGTCATCTCCTCCAACCTTCACTGCGAGGAGATGCTGGATTTCCTTGAATCCAAGATCAAGGGAATCCGCTCCGCGGTCACTTCCCCTCCAACATCCACCCACCACCCACCCCTTCCCTCCCACACTCCGACTCCTACCCATCCTCCCCTACACACCTTCGTACCCGTTTCCCCACCCTCTGTCACCAAACTCATCCTCTCCCTGAAACCTACCACCTGCTCCCTTGACCCCATCCCCACTCCACTCCTTATCTCCCAGCTCCACTTTCTTGCCCCACATATCACTGACATCATAAACCTGTCCCTCTCCTCTGGCTCTGTCCCATTCCATTAAAAACTGCCATCATCACGCCCACCCTGAAAAAACCCTCCCTTGATGCGTCGCAGCTATCAAGCTACCGGCCCATCTCCAACCTCCCCTTCCTATCCAAGGTCCTGGAACGAGTTGTCGCCTCCCAACTGTGCTCTTTCCTTTCCAACCATTCACTATTCGAACCCCTTCAATCGGGTTTCCGTGCTGCCCATAGCACAGAAACTGCCCTGGTCAAGGTCACCAATGACATCCTGACCATCTGTGACCAGTGCTCCCTCTGCCTCCTCGTCCTCCCCGACCTATCGGCAGCATTCGATACGGTCGACCATGCTATCCTCCTCCACCGCTTGTCCTCCCACCTAAACCTTCAAGGCCCTCTCCTTGAGTGGTTTAGGTCGTACCTCTCCCACCGTCTTCGCTTTGTCTCCACAAATGGTTTTTCCTCCGGCCCCCGCACTATCTCGTGCGGTGTCCCTCAAGGCTCTGTCCTGCATCAGCATCAGCATCCAAGGCTGCACTCTCCACCTCTCAAAGCCAGTCAGGAACCTCGGGGTTCTGTTCGACCCTGAGCTGTCCTTTCTCCCTCATATCCGCGCCACAACTGGCACCGCCTTCCATCACCTGCGGAATGTCACCAGACTACGGCACTACCTCACCCCTCACGCTGCTGAAACTCTGGTCCACGCCTTTATCACCTCAAGGCTGGACTATGGGAACTCTCTCCTCGCCGGCCTTTCCGGCACCTCCCTCCACAAGCTGCAGGTCATTCAGAACTCTGCAGCTCGTGTACTGTCCCGCACCAGGTTTCGGGACCACATCACTCCCACCCTCGCTCGCCTCCACTGGCTCCCCATCCCCCAGAGGATCGAATTCAAGATCCTCACCCTCACCTACAAAGCCATTCACGGCCTTGCTCCCTCCTACCTCTCCGACCTACTATCCCCCTACCTACCTGCCTGTACCCTCCGTTCCTCTGGCTCCGGTCTGCTCCACATCCCCTGCCCCAACCGCCCTACCATCGGTGGCCGGGCCTTCAGCCTCTCAGCCCCTAGGCTCTGGAACTCTATCCCCCAGTGCCTTCGCCGCCTCCTCCCTTTCCTCCTTCAAGGCCGGTCTCAAGACCTTTCTCTTTGACCGTGCCTTCAGCTCCCCTCTTGACTCTCTACCCCCTCCTCGCTCCCTCCCTTCCCTCCCCTCACCCTGACCCTTTCCCCCTTGCTCGGGTCCTGACCCAACTGTACAGCGCCTTGGGACGTCCTCCCGACGTGAAAGGCGCTCAATAAATGGAATCTTGTTGTTGTTGTATGACGTCTCATCTGAAGGATGGAACCTGTGATACTGCAACCCTGGCATGCATTGGAGTGTCAATTTGACTGAGTTGAAGTCTCGATGTGGAACTTGACCCCACAACCTTCTGTCTTTGAGGCGAGAGCACTGAACCAGGCTGACACACTTGACCTGCACTATAGACACAAGACCTCAGCTTCACTTAGAAAAGTCTGAGAAAATATTTTCTTTACAGCCCTTGAAAAAGGCATTATTCTGTTGAGATGCTTTTTTTGAAACATGTCCAGTTTACACTGTTGTGTTGGGAATTATCACCTGGGCTGCCCAGTGTGCCAAGTCATAATATCTTCTCTGAAGTTTCATTAAGTGGTGCATGTCTTCATAGAATTGTACAGCACAGAAGGAGGCCATTCGTCCCATTGTGTTTGTGCCGGCTCTTTGAAAACAGCTATTCAATCCTACTCCCACGCTCTCTCCACATAGCCCTGCAAACTTGTCCTCCCTAAATATTTATCTACTATCTAAAAGTTGTTATCTTATTTCCTTTCAGTTCTTCTCTACTTTCTATCTTCTATTTGATTATCTTCTGTATTTTGGACCTGACATTTATCATAAGCCTCCTTTTTCTGTTTTATTTTAATCTCAATTTCTTTAGCCATCCAGGGTGTTGGATGCCCTACCTTTCCTCATTGTGGGAATGTATTTGTTCTGTCCCCGAACTATCTCCACCTTAGGGGCTTCCCATTTCTCATTAGCTGTTTTACCTTACTTAATCTTAATCTTACTTTCCAGTCCACCTTGGCTAGATCCTTTTTTAACTCATTAAAATTAGTCCTCTTCCAGTTGAGTATCTTCATCTTTGATTGCTCCTTGTCCCTTTCCATAAGTACTCTAAACCTAATGATGTTGTGATCACTGTTGTCCAGATGCTCTCCTACTGAAACCTGATCCATTTGCCCCACTTCATTTCCCAGAACTAGATTCAACACTGCTTCCTTCCTCATCGGGCTGGAAACTTACTGATCCAGAAAGTTATCCTGCACACGTTTCAGGAACCCTTCCCCCTTATTTCCCTTTACACTGTTATTTTTCAAGTCTGTTAGGATAATTGAAATCCCCCATTATCACTACTCTATTAGTTTTACATTTCTCTGAAATCTGCTTGGAAATTTGCTCATCTATCTCCTTCCCACTATTTGGTGGTCTACAGTATACACCTAACAGAGTAACGGCTCCTTTTCTGCTCCTTAACTTTAACCAAATATATTCTGTTTTTGGACCCTTGTCCCTTTCATTGTCCCTTTCCAGGGCAAGTAACCGTGTCTTTAATCAATATTGCCATCCCTCCTTTTTTTTCCCTTCCCTATCCCTCCTGAATAAATTGTAGCCAGGAATATTCAGTTCCCGTTCCTACTCTTGTTACATTATAACCCCATGTGCCAACTTGAGCCTGCAGCTCACCAATTTTATTTGTCACACTCTGTTCCCTCCCAAGACCGACTTAGTCTGCTCTGCATTTCTCTCCCCTCTAATCCCCCCCTTTTCAGGATTACTCCTTATTACATTGCTATTCATCTCTCCCAGCCCTCTATACAAATTGTTTGTCCTCTCTAATGCTGCATCCTGATTCCCATCCCCCTTGAAATTAGTTTAAACCCTTCCCCACAGCACTAGTTAACCTCTCTGTGAGGACATTGGTCCCATCCCTGTTTAGGTGTAAGCCATCTACCTTGTACAGGTCACACCTGCCACAGAACTGGACCCAATAATCCAGGAACCTGAAGCTCTCCTTTCTGCACCAATTCTCCAGCCATGCATTCATGACCATCTTTCAGCGCTTTTGAAGTGTTATCCTTGGCTGGGCTAAATGGAGCCGCTCTTAATCTAGTCTTTTCAGTGTTAGGGACATAGGATATCCTAGACAAATAAGACCAAGGTCCATCCAATCTATCTGAAAGAATCAACACTTCCTGCTTCCACAGTTTCCCTAGGGAACCTGTTCCATTGTTTTACCATTTGCTCACTAAAATAGTGTTCCTGCAAATTTGTCTTGACTAATTCACCAGTCTCCTGCCTTGCAGTTTGTGAACAGGCAATATGCAAATAAAGTGGAAAGTGCCGTCAAGCAACCAGAGAAGCCGAAGAACTGGGAAGCAGACCGGAAGGTCAGTACCCTGACAGAGTCGGTCAAAAAGAGGGATGCCGAGTGCGGCAGGATGCCCGAAGCAGAACTCCCAAAAACATGGGAGGCAGAGCATGTCTTTCAGAAGCTGGAAAAGCCCAAAAAATGGGAGCCTGAGCTGCTCAACCAAAGACATCAGGAAGAGCCCAAAAAATGGGATGTACAATACACAATTCTGCAGGAGGGGCCACCGCCCAGTGCGATCGTTCCTAAGGAAGTGGCTGAGCCAAAGAAGTCACTGACAGAACCCAAAGAGGTGAGAAGCCAGCAGTGGTGGTAGGGTTTGGTCAATGGTGCCACAGCCTGGCCAGTGACTCACTCTGTCCTTTCTCCACCATAGAAATGGGACCGCAGATCAAAACATGAGCCTGAAGCGAAACAGGTGGGTAAAAGTGGTTGGAAACAGACTGGTGACAGTGGTGATGGTTAAAGGGCATTTCTCAAGAGGATAGTGACCACATGTTTGTTGATACCTCAGCTACCATTGCAGTGGGGCAGACTCTAGAGTCCAGCTGCTCTTTGGCACCTGGAAGTTCTCAGTGAGCAGGAATGTGGTCCTGGGTTGCAGGGGTTTTCACCATGGCTGAAGGCTAAGGGTGGGGACGGTGTCACATGTTGGCAGGGCTAGGTTTTTGGATGGTGGCTGGACTGTGGGGAGGGGAAAATTGTCCCATGTTGAATTACTTTCATGTAATGCAATATCTTGTCAGGTGACCAGGGCCACACACCAGGCAACAGCAGAGTTCTGCTCTGGCTCCTCACTCCCCAAAGATCCTGAACTCCGGAAACAAAAGCTGCAGGACCTAATGTCACAGATACAAGGAACCTGTAACTTCATGCAGGTAAATAATATCTTAGAAACTATTAGAATTTCTGCCTTTGCCTCCGACTTCTAGACATGTTGCAAACTTCTCAGTCCCTTGGTGTTAGCTTGCCTCCGTTGGTCACTCATCTCTGAGGCAAAGTTGTGAGACGTGGGTTCAAGTCTTGTGTCAGGATTTGTATCTAATGCTTGCAGTCCAGGTTTCAGGTGTCCAAAAAAAGAAATATCTCCCTGACGATTCCTCCAAATAAAATTGATTATTCACTGAATGGCTAGCTGTTGGAGGGACATTGCTGTGTGCAAGCTGGTTGCTATATTTGTTTGCTCTTTGATCTGAGTGGGCAGTGTGAATTTGAAGTTTGCCTTGTGCTCCAGTGCATGGGAGAGAATGAGTGGCTGGCACAATAGGTTGACGATTTCATGAGAAAGCTGATTACTTCATGGCTTTCATTACATTTAAAAGAAATTTTAAAATAAAGAATTGGTTACTCAATCCATGACTGTTTGTGGGATATTAGTGTGTATAATTGTCTGCCATGTTTCACCCACAAAATAGTCAATTCAGTTTACAGTATATTCTGTGAAGGGCTTTGAAACATCTCAATGGTGTGTTAAGTTGCTATATCAAATGCAAGTATTATTATAATATATTCAGTTGCTGGTTTTCACAGCAGTTTGTGTGAAACACTTTAGATATGTCGAGCCCAAATGTAATGATTATTATACAACATGGAGTGTTCCTCCTGTGCCTCCCTTGCCTGAATCCCTGAACTCACAATAACTTGTATTGAACTGTACTAGGATTCTATGCTGGACTCTCTGTTGGAATCAGATGTCTCTTTAAAAGATGCTGTTGCAGCCCCCAAGTGTGCAGTGCTGTCACTCCAGGGATCAGGTAGGAGACCTGTTTTGGGGCATTTTAAATAGCTTTGTAAACCTGCAAGTTTTGTCAAATAGCTACTCTTGGTAAGAGCAACAAATTACATTTATATAGCGCATTTCACATTGGAAGGACATCCCAAGGCTGGACACTAAAGTGTTTGCACCTAAGCTGGGGGTTGGAATCGAGAGTTGGAGGGTAAGGGGGTGTGTGGCCAAAAACATAGTCAAAGAGGAAGGTCTTGAGACTGGCCTTGAAGGAGGCACGGTCAAGGGTCAGGAAAGCTGAAGGTCTGACTGCCAGTGATGGAGCGGGCAGGTTGGGAATGTGGAGCAGGCTAGTGCCTGCCAAACTAAGGGAACGGACGGGTTGATCTGGTATTAAGAAGTGGCAGAGGTATGGTCCTGTCGGCCTCGGGCCAGCTTACAGTTTTGGTTTGAAGTTGTGGCATTAAATTAATGTGAGATTTTATTTAAAGGAGGAAATATTGGTTGACTCAGCACATTCTTGCTGTTGCATTGAGCTTGCTTTGTTTGACCTGGGGCAATCAATGCGAGTTTGTTTTTTAACGTTTGGTCAATTTGTGGATAGGTTTTTTGCACCCAAACCAATTCTGATTTTTTTGGGGTTAATCTATAGAAGCTCCCAAAGAACCAAAGCAGCAAAACAAGATTGACGTTGTGCCCTCATCCCCTAAGGTAAAGTATCTCCAACCCAACAAAGTGAGCATTCACCTTCAATGACCTGTCGCTTCATAGCTTAGTTGGCAGAAAAGATTTCACATAAAAATAAATAACAATTTTAAAAAGCATTGCATTCGCTATGACATCTTATCACGTCATTGAAACGTCTCAAAGCACTTGAAAGTGTACTGTAAAGTGGCGTGACTATTTTGTGGGCCAAACGCAACACCCAGTTGTGCACAACAATGTCCCACAAACAGCCATGGAGTCGGTGATCGATTTTATTTGAGGGATTGTTGACCAGGATACCGGGTTTTTCCTGCACGTTCACTGAGGGCTCCTGATGATGCTTAGTGTAAATGTGATGGTTTGTGCTGCTGTTAAAGCTGTTCTTTCTCACTCTGTTGCAGCCTGTTGATGTGGAAACCCATACTCTCTCCGCTCTTGCTGATAACTCTACTTCTGATGACCATGTTTCCTCTTCTGGTTCCGTAACTGATCTTTCAGTAAAGCGTATTGTTCAGGTAAGGTTGTGTGTGGGTAGGATCACTCCAGTCATTGCATGTATGAAGTCGTGATGGTTCTCTTGTCAGCTGATTTAACAGCATGCATTGAAAGCTGGTGGGTTTTTTTCAGAAATGAAATAGCTTGTAGATCTGTTCAATTCATCGTGTAAATCCATAGCTTCACTATCTAAAAAGCTTAAAATGACAAATTGATAGAATTATGGAATCTTGCAACACAGTAGGAGACCCATTTGCCCCATCCTTACTGAGCCGGCTGGCTCTTTCAAAGAGCTACTAACTAGTCACAGTCCCCCGCTCTTACTCCTGCACATTTTTCCTTTTCAAGTATATATACAATTCCCTTTTGAAAGCTACTATAGAATTTGCTGTCATTTCCCTTTCAGGCAGTGCATTCCAGATCTTAACAACTCTCTGGGTTTATATAAAAAAAAATTAATTCTCCTATCTCCCCTTTAGTTGCCAATTATCTTAAATCTGTATCCTCTGATTATAGAGCTATCCTCCAGAAGAAACTTTCTCCTAATTTACTCAAAACTCCTCAATTTTGAACACTGATTAAATCTTCCCTCCACTTTCTCTACTCTAAGGAGAATAATCCCAGACTTTCCACATAACTGAAGTCCCTCATTCCTGGAATCATTCTGGTAAATCTCCTTTGCACCCTATCCAAGGCCCTAACATTCTTCCTAAATTGTGGTACCTAGAATTGGACACAATACTCCAGCTGTGGCCTTGTCTCCTTTTCAGTGCTGTTCCCAGGCTGCTCTTGCATCTTTATTTTTGAATTTTTTTTTCTTTTTGTATTCTGCTTTTAAATTTCTACAACTTAAAATTCTCAAGTGCCATCTCATGTCAAACAAAATGCACGTCAAGCTCTGAATCATAATGAAAATGGCTCGACGGTGAGGTTTTCGTTTTTCTGAAACTGCTTAAAACTGGAATTGAATCCTGCAATCTGCTTGTGCTCAGAGTAACTCGGAGAGTGAGGCTTGTAGTCCCCACCAGCAGATGTTTCCAGCCACCTCACCCAAGATGGAACCTTCAACATCAAAGCCCTTGGAGACTAACCGGGTGAGAGATTCTTCGTCTTGTGCATTTCTATGGTTCTACAGCACAAAAGGTAGTCATTAATCCATTGTGTCCATGATGGCTCTTTTGAGAGCAATTCTTTGTGCAATTTACAGTACAATAAAGACTCTATAAATCCTTGCATTTGATGCATTGTTGCACTTCACTCAAATTAGAGTAAAACAACAACAAATTGCATTTATATAATTCTTTCATGTTGGGAGGACGTCCCGAGGCGCTGGTAATGTGTCCAATGTAGGGGGAGTATTTGACTTTTGCAATGCTATTGCAAGAAGCCCTTAGTCTTTGTATGGTGACAGTGCAGATCACCGCTCCCTGTGGGTGTGCAAATGGACATTTTTTGGACTGTTTGAATTTCAAACGTGCACAACTTGGCAAATTGTAAATTATGGTGGCTCAGCATTAATCAGTTGTTTGCTGACTGCAGGGAAAGCATAAACAGGGGGTTGAGCAATGGGCAGATGAATCTCATCCTGTTGCTATCCTGTTGAAACTGCTGACATCTGTCAGGTGTGATTAAGTGTCTGGGATATGTTTAAAATTTTGCCAACTACTTGTATTAATCGTTCTCTTGTCTGATTTCTCCAGGTTTCTCCTACACGCAACCGGACTCCAAGCCCAACAATGCCCCTGACACCCAAGGCGTTGGACTTCCAGGATCCAGTCTGCAGCCCACCAGCAAACCGGAAAACCACACCCTTTCAGTCCATGCACACTGTGAGTCGTGTCTTTTTACATTGTTAATTTTTTTTTGGACATTGTAAACTGTAACTTGAGTACTTTGCTCTCAATCTTCTCTGTTTCAGGGAGAAAGGGGGGGTAAAAGAGAAAAGCACGTTCCCAAAGAGCTTGACGAGATGTGCGGGAGAATGTAGTGACTGTGTTGCGGGCATCAACATGTGATCAGTCCTTTGTTAATGGAACATTCGTCTTTTTCCCTCCCCCCCCACCCACTTAACCAGGGTATGCTTTCAATTTCTATAAAAACAACAACTTGCATTTATATAGCGCTCTTCACATGCATCAGTGGCTCACAGCATTAATCGTGATGGAGCCTGATGCTAAGCCAGTGGGAAGAAGGAGGTGACTGTAAGCATTGACTGTAACCACGATCGAAGAGGAAGCTTTTCAGGCATGGTTGAAAAGAGGGGAAGGTTGGGGCATGGAGGAGGGATTGAGGGAGAGCGTTTCAAAGCTTCAGGGGTGCAGTGGAAAGAATAAAAGGAGAAAGAACCCCCCCAAAGTGCTTCAAAGGATATACTGTAGAGTTGATGACTATTTTCCAGTTGATGGAATTTTTTTCTTTTTATCCCTACTTAACCAGGACATAATTTAAGTTTGTCAAATTGTGGAAGCTATAATATTAGCAATCAACAGCTCATTTGGCTCATTGTGCTTCTGTCTCTGAAAGAGCTCTCCATGGTGTCCCGATCCTCTTTTTATATTTTCCCTTTACAGATATTCATCAAATTCCCTCTTCAAAGCTAATCTTGATTCCGATTCACAGCTGTTTCAGGGTGGCTGTTGCACACCCAAACAACTGTTTTGGAAGACTTTGCCTCTGTTTAGTTCAAGACAAAATGGCTGTTTACCTTGTAGTAAGTAGGAACCTGGCTGTCCACCTTACTAAGCCAGTCCAGAACCTTGGGGTCTTGTTTGACCCTCAGCTATTCTTTCTACCCCAAATCTGTGCTATGACCTGCTCTGCCTTCCCCCATCTCCGCAACATCGCCCAGGTCCACCACTGTCTCACTTCACAGGCCGCCTCATACAAGGTTTCATTACATCAAGGCTTGACTATGCAAACTCCTTGCTTGTCGGCCTCCTCAACCCCTTCCTCCATAGGCTGCAGATAATCCAGAACTCTGCAGCCTGTGTTCTCTCCTGCACCAGGCTTTGTGACCCTATCAATCCCATCCTTGCTCGACTCCTGGCTTCCCATCACACAGAGGATACAGTTCAAGATCCTGGTCCTCACCTTCAAAGCCCTCCAAGGTTTTGCTCCTCCCTATCTCTGTGACCTCCTAACCCCCTACCATCCTACCTGCTCCCTCCCCTCAGCGGGTTCCAGCCTGCTTCATGTCCCCCGCCTTGCTCGCCCTACCATTGGTGGTGGGCCTTCTGCCACTAGGCTCCCCCACCCTCTGGAACTCCATCCCACAGTTTTCTGCCTCACTCCCTCCCTTGCCTCCTTCAAGACCCTCCTCTTCGACCATACTTTTGATCACCCTCCCTGATCCCGACTCCCCCCCCCCAGCTTGGGTCCGAAACTCTGACTGTCCAGCGCCTTGGGACGTCCTCCTAACGTGAAAGGCGCTATACAAATGTAGTATTGTTCAGCGATTTGGCGCATCGCTTTTTGTTCTCCAAACCTCTACTTATGTTTGTTACCTTCAGTCCGTGCCCTCCAGTTGCTGGCTCACCCACCAGTGGAAACCGTTCTTCCTGTATCACGTGAGAACCCCATTGTGAACTGAAAAACTTCTGTCGGCTTTCTTCTCACTGACGATCTTCTCTGTTCCAGGGAAAAAGGAGCTGGTTTCTCCAGTCTCTTGATCCCCAATAAATATAATTACAAATACACTCTCCTCTGAATGTTTTCTGTAGCCCATGTGACTTTGTTTTGCTGTATCATCTTGTAGGTTTTCAACGTGAATGCTCCGCTTCCACCAAGAACTGACCAAGAAGTGACTTATAACCAAAGCGTAACCACGTCCAGCACTCAAACTCCACCTCAGTCCATTTCTCTGCAGTCTCCATTTGTAGAACAAAATGCGATTGCACAAGACACCTCAACAGGTACAGAGGGCCACTGAGTTGAGAAAGGCATTCAGTAATGAAATAATCCTACCTTGGATTTGACAACTTGTGGTCACACTACAGCGCTTCAGAGGATTGGCTATGACGTGCAGTGACTGCGTATCTTGTAGGTGAATGCAACAGCCATTTGTGCACAGTAATGTCCTGTAAACAGTCATGAAGTGAATGACTGATGTTTGAGGGATTGTTGGCCAGAACCTTGGGCGAAACTCCCTCGTTTTGATTTGTGGGATCTGTAATATCCATCTGAATGTAAATTGAACAAAGGATTACCAGCTATGAGGTTTACAACAATACTCACTCCACAGCTTTTTGTAGGACATTGCTGTACAAACTGGCTGCCATGTTTTTCCCACAAAATAGTCCCTCCACTTCACAGTATATCCTGTGAAGTGTTTTGTGATGTCTTAACAATGTGCTGATACACTATGTGAAATGTTATTATTGATGGCACTAAAGTGTCCGAGCTCAAAGCCTGTTCCATTGCCTTTCAGAAGAGACCACCATTTCCAATGGGGGCCACGTGTATCCACCCCACGGACAGGTGAACCAGCCCTATCTCCGAGCAAGCCAGCCATATTTTGGGGTTCGGGGGGCTCCTCGCGGAGTGTCGCGGGGCAGCCGAGGCATCCCCAGTGCATACCGCAGCCCCAGCAACGGATACAAAGGTGTAAAAGCATTTTTTTTTGTTTGATGAAGATTGAGCTGGATAGCAGTTTCCAAAATGCAAACTAGGAGGAACAATGGGAAGAAAAGCTCTTCAAACCATGTTTCGTGAGGTCACACTACATCTTCTATATTTTGTTCCCCTTTTCCTCTCCCTCACCATCCCCAACGGTGTATTGCAGTGTTTTGGGTGTGCAATGTCAGATCCCCCCATATTAGTGTAAAGTGCACTGAACAAAATGGCTTCCATTAGTTCCTTCCTGTGCACTGAGCAGGAAGCTTCACTGAGGTCACTTACTTCACAGTACAAAGAAAGTGGGAGACTGCTCTCCCCAGCATTAATTGCTGGGAAGACGCAAGGAGCCTTTCTACACATGACGAGCAGTGAGTATTCAGCACTAGGCTATAAACACAGGTCCACGGGGCAACACACTGTACAGGGCATGTGATAAACAGGTTGCATTTAAACAGGACCATTGTGCAGAGCGCTGAAGAATGTTGTAGTTTGACACCAAGCGGGGAAGAAAGGGCGATAAGCCCAGGTATGATCTGAAGATTGGCAAAGAGGGTGCGAGGCATGGAGTTGCAGAGTTTTAGGATGCAGTGGCTGAAAGCACGACCACGAATTGTGGAGCAGAGGGGCTCAAGTCATGAACACAAGGTCCCAGTGAAGGGGGGTGGGTTGAGGAATGGGGTGTGAGCAGGGGCCATCTTGAGGCTTGAGTATGTGGTACTACTTGACACCTACCTTCACGGTGAGATTAGAGAGTCTTGGTGGCTTTGGCCTGTTGTACTGGTAGGAAGATCAACAGCTCCTAAAATAACTCTGGGAACTTATGTTATCAGAAAAACCTCTCGCACCCCATAGGTGTGTTGAAACTTGACCAGGAGACATGCCATCATTTACCTCCTGAGATCATTTTGGGTGCCAAAAATAGAAAGGCATTTATGATTATAATAAAAAAATTGCGTTGAGGATTGACATCTTTAACTGACTAAGAATCACGTGTTTTGTCGCTGGAAAATACTTTGTGGTATGAGCAATCCCATTTACAACATACTGATTCTGCTTCAGCCAGACTTGGCCTGGCTGCTTGTCATCTCCCTCTCTCTCTCTGACTTGGGATAGATTGTTAATTTGCACAAACAAGGTATCCACAGAATTTCTAGAGTCCTTAGGAGCAGGCTGTTTTTCTTAACTCTTGAGTTGTGTGGGGGAGCAGCAGAAAATTATAAATAAATAAGGGTAGAGAGATTTAATGGAGATGGGAGTGGTTGTTTTTAACGTTGAAGCAATTAGAAAATACTTATGAATTTTTAAATGCGGAACCAGTGAAATGTTCTTGGTGTAATCTGGTTTTGTGAATTCTGAAGTGTGGCATGTAGGGGATTGTCTTGCATTCGGTCATCCAGTGGTTCTCAAACTTTTTTCACACTGAACCTCCCTAAGATAAAGGATGGAGTGGAAGGGGGAAAAAATAATTGTGCCTCCCCATAGTTTACTAAAACAATGCAAATAACTGAAAATCTTATATTTTATCGTTTGTTTTCTTGCAGCATAGAAGAGCTTTGATCAGTATAGTTAAAATAAGCGTACAAGTTCCAAAAGTTCAAATTATATTTCACAAACCACCTTTTCATGTTCTCTCAAGGTTCTGCCTTGCTCTCCCCCCCTTACCCTCCAATTGGTGGCCTGATTCAGACTATTAGTGGCCATTGGTCTATACCCCTATCAATCAGTCTGGATGTTCACCCTTGCCTTTCCTCCTTCTCCCCGCCCCCCCCACCCCCCCAGTAGTGCATAGTTGGGTGGGGGAAGTGTTGTCGCAGGGTTTGGTTGGCTTTGTTGTGACACGGAGACAATCCTGAGAACCTGGGATTGTAGGGAGGTGTGCAATGTGTCCTCTGCTGGTGCACTCCTGCACCTCCCCAGGGAGGCATACCCCACAGTTTGAGAACCTCTGCTGTTAAGTTTTCTTTGTGTGTGCGAGCATAGGTGCACTAAATGGTGTCCCGTCTTTAGGATTCGATGGTTACCGAGCAGTTCAGGTTACTGGCAATGGGATATATGGACCTTTACCGAACCGAGATTATCCTGGAATTCAGTATACTCAGCGGGTAAGAAACAGCGTGGTCGCTGATTTGTAAACCACCAGTTCAACTGAGCTCAACACATTGTGGAAGCTTGATCTGAACCGGGGTACGCAAATGTTCAGGCCAGATTTCGTTAAATGAGAACATGAACAAGTTGGGTGCTCTAAGTCCATTGACTTGTCATGTACTGTCAGACAAGGGACAGATAAATGAGACCACAGTTCACAAAATCTCCTTCAACTTTGCTTCCCTCACCAAATTGAGGCAAATATTAATAAGTCAGATGTTTTAAGTGAATTTATTTTTGCTCTAAAGTTCTTGCCTTAGTTTCTCAGCTGGAATTTATTCTCTGAACCTTCACCTGCAGTTCAACTCTCTCCAGTTTCACCCTACCCACCTGGCCATTCCTTTCACACAGCAGGTAGTGGTCTGCTCATGTCTTTTGCTCCACCATTGGCAAACAGGCTTTCAGCCTATCTGCCCCCACTCTTTGGAACTCCATCCCAGAGATCCTTTGCCTCGCCTCTTAACTCACCACCTTCAAGGTCTGCGTTGACCATCTTTTTTGTCCACCACTTCAGTCGTCTTTCCCCTTGCCCAGCTTTGGTGCTTTGCCATTAGTCATCCTTCCAATATGAAAGACACTTTTCTAGTCTTCACTGGGCTTTGCTTTTGAGTTACGAGCTGCCTGGACTCTTATATTGTACAACTGTTTGGTTGACAGACCAAGGCACATGGTCAATGCCTTGGTTGTGCAGTGTGTAAAAAGATTGCAGGTTAAATTGATTTTGTAATTTTTGGATTTGAATCTGTCTGCAGTTTCTGCTTTGCACTTGCCTCTGATAATGCTGTTCATGTTTTATGACTGCAGGAGTCTGGTTATCCCAACTACAAGCGAGTCATAGCTGGTGGCCCTCGCACTGCGAGAGGAGGTAAGGACTCGGAAGCTTACCTGTGGATGGAGCTAGCTTATAAATAGTCAGGTTCACTGTTCCAACATGTGTGTCTCCGGGATAACGTTTCATTCACACCTGTTGTCTCACTGAAGCATTTGTTCCACCACAATATTGGAGTATTACTACTGCAATTTCAAATGGGATTATAAATGTATAAGGTGTTTGCAACGAATTGTTGGTTGTGTGTTTAGCCTGAGTGGGAAGCCATCTTGATCCAAGCACTGGTAAAAATTAGGCTTTCAAACCTTTTATTCTCAGTGGTCAGCATTGAATCACATTGGCTGATTTCAATGCAGACGAGGGCAGTTCTGATCCAAAACTTTTTGCTCAATAGACATCCTTTGTACAATGTTGCTTTAACTGCTAAAGCCTGGGTTTTCATTGCTCTTGTGAGGGAACAGGGAAGAGATGATGTCACTGCCCAGACTAAGGGTTACCTTGAATGGGTTTTTGTAAGTTAAATAAATGGTGAACATCTCTTCATTGCCCTGCAGGCATTTTTCTTCATGTTACTTTAAATATTTACTGCCGTATCCTCCCAGCTTAAACGTGACTACACATTGGGATAGCTGCCTGTTCAGACAAGGTCAGACTGATCTCACAGGCTGCAGTTTATTAATGGTCAGACCATGGGGTGTTGTCTGCAGGTGGGTTGAAATGAGTTGTTGCTTAAATGTCAATTGGAGTGAAGCAAGCAGGAGAGCATCTTTGTGGCAACATTGAAAAGTCTCATATTTCAACCCGAGATGTCAACTGTGTTGAGGGCAAATCCTTGTCATGTTTGTTGTAATGTTATGGCCATTAAAGCCTGGGGTTGAATCTTTCAGTCCAGTAATAGTGTTTCTGCAAGTGTACAGGAAAGCCAGGTTTCTGGGGTTATTAGTGGACAAAATGTGACTCTTCTGTTCAGTCCCAGCACTTAGAATTTCTGACCCCCTCTTTGCCTACCTTCTAAACAGGTACCAATTACTCCACTGGGTGGAGTGACTCTTCTCAAATGAGCAGCCCAGAGAGAGACGACGAGACGTTTGCCAGCGGAGATTCAGGGCAGGGAGATTCTCGCAGCCTGACTCCTGTGGACCTGCCGGTCACCAGCCAAACTGCCACCATCCTGCCAGTGCATGTGTACCCTCTGCCCCAGCAGATGAGGGTGGCCTTCTCCACTGCCAGGACCTCCAACTTTGCCCCAGGCTCCCTGGACCAGCCCATCGTCTTCGATCTGCTGCTCAACAACCTGGGAGAAACGTTTGACTTTCAGTTGGGAAGGTTTTCCTGCCCGGTCAACGGTACGTATGTCTTTATCTTCCACATGCTCAAGCTGGCTGTCAATGTGCCTCTGTATGTCAACCTGATGAAGAACGAAGAGGTGCTGGTCTCGGCCTACGCCAATGATGGCGCTCCTGATCATGAGACAGCCAGCAACCACGCAGTATTACAGCTATTTCGAGGAGACCAGATCTGGTTGCGGCTGCACCGAGGAGCCATCTACGGCAGCAGCTGGAAGTACTCTACCTTCTCAGGCTATCTCTTGTATCAGGACTGAATGGGCCTCCAGCAGCCAGCCAAATGCTTTGATCACTGTTAAGGGTTATATGTTGGCGTGAAGCAAGTTTCTAGATGTAACTGTCGCTCTGTCAATGTTTTTCTGGAAGTTTTGTTTTGGGGTGGGGGGGGTTCTGCACTGATGGGGCACTTTAACCTGAGATGCCTTGCTGGTAGAGCTGTGAATCTATTTTGTTACAGAATGTTGTATCTTGCACTTGATGGCCTGATTCTATTTTGATTTCTTCCCAACACAGTATCTATTTACGATGCCTTTTGGTGCCTCAATAAATTGGTTTTGCACTGTTTGCTGCCTGAGTTTTGAATGGATTGCTTTTTTCAGAGTGTTTCGCTTTTTCCTGCCTGCTCTCAGTGAGACGACCACCTTGCATGACACCAGTAGCAATGTCAGTCCTGTGGGAGACTAGAGATATCCACAAGCTGTACCTTTCCATTTCTTTTGTAATATGCTTGCATTTGATATAGTGGCTGATCACGTCACTGATGTCTCAAAGGGCTTCACGTGGTATACTGTAAAGTGTTTTTGACTATTTTGTGGGCTAACTGCAGCAGCCAGTTTGCTTGTAGCAATGTCCCAAAAACTGCCATGGAGTGAGTGACCATTTTTTTGGGGGGTTATTATTGGCCAGGAGAGAGAAATGCCCTTTTTTCAAATTGTTCCATGGGATCTTTAATGTCCACCTGAACAGACAGACGGGACCTCAGTTTAACGTCTCATCCAAAAGACAACACCTCTGACAATACAGTGTATCCCCAGCATTGCATTGGAATGTCATCTTAAACTATGATTCCAAGTCCCCAGGTGGGGGCTTGACCCCACAACCTTCTGATTCAGAGGTGCTGAGCTGCCACAAACTAATTAGTTGCTTGTGTCAAAATCAGTTCTGGAAATGAATGAATACACAATCATTTCCCTGTACCCTGTCAGTGTATAGCTAATCTTCCATCTTTTAACCCTGGGATATAAGAAATAAGGGAGTGTTTATTAGCCCTTGACCCCAAAGCAATATGTGTGTTTCTGCATCTCTTAACCTTTTAAAGAGCGCAATTTTAAAACTACTCTCATGATAGTTCTTCTTTCAGGTGGTAGATAAAATGCAATGTTTTTGTTTGGTCCAAGTAATGTTATGGCAGTTCAAGCTAACCCAATAACTGTCCTTCAAATGCCAAATATATCCACTGGCTAAGTTAGCACTCAATTCAAGTATAGGTGCTTTAAGCTCATCTTGCCTGATCCTTCAGTGTTATGTTGAGGGAGGATAGCATCATTGGAGGTGAAGCCCCTCAGATGAGATGTTAAACCGAAGTCCTCTATGCCTGGTCAGGCAGATGTTAAAATCCAATTGTCATGATGCAAAGAGAAGGTAGTTTCTCCTAGTGACCTGGCCAACAATTGTATTGACCACCAGGTGTTGCTGTAACACAGAATAATAGATTGTGATCTGCTGCTCTGTGGTGTCCAATTATGTTGATTTGATGGTGGAGCCAGCCTCATCCAAATCCACTCCCACGATCTTTCCTGATAGTATCTTTCCTGATGAAAATGAAACCCTGATGACTTCTCATCCCTGACTAGCAGGGCTCACATCAGAGCCCACTATGGTCCTGTTGGGTTCGCTGCCCCAATCTACGGGATAATGCCATCCACCTGACCGCTCGCTCCCGGTCCCCGCGTGCGCACTATGGCTGCCGCTTTGACCCGAGCCCCCTCACCCCCTCCCTCCCACCCCCCTCCTCTCTCCCCCAAACCCTCCCCCTCTGCATCTCTCCCGCTCTCTCCTCCTCTCTCTCCGTCCCTCTCGTCTTCTATCCCCACTTGACCCTCCCACAACCTCCCTCTGTTCCAGCCTGGGAATCCTCCGCCGGGCTCACCGTGGCACTCGGCGTTGGCTGTCCAGCAGCAGCCACACCGACTGCCCCATTCCCCACCACACTCGCCACCCACCCCGGACACAGACCCGGGGAGTCAACCTCTCCTCCCTCATCCCCATCCCCCCCACCCCTGCCTCACAACCTGGACCCCCCTCCCCTCCCACACACCCTTCTGTCAACCGCTCCCTCCACATCGGACTGCAAAATGTCCGCTCCCTCTGCAACAAGGCCCTGGTCATCAACGATCTCATCCTTGATGAGAACGTTGATATCATGGCCTTAACAGAAACCTGGCTCACCCCAGGCGACACCTTCCCCCTCACGGAGGCCACGCCACCCGGCTACACCTCCCACCACATCCCCCGCCCCAACCGCCGTGGCGGTGGTGTTGCCCTTATCTCAAGGACACCACTTGCCCTATCCCCCTACTCCACTGGCTCTTTCCCCTCCTTTGAGCACCTCACCCTCTCCCACCCCTCATTCCTCTCCCTTAAAATCCTCCTCCTCTACCGGCCCCCTAAAACCTCTCCCACCTTCATCTCTGACATTTCAACACTCCTCACATCTCTTTGCCTCTGCTCTGATCGCCTCATCATCCTGGGCGACTTTAACCTACACTTCACCCCCTCCTGCTCCATCTCCACAGACTTCTCTTCCCTGCTCTCCTCACTCAACCTCTCCTTACACATAAACTCCCCCACTCACAGTCACGGCCACCCACTCGATTTGGTGATCACCCGGGGCCTCAGTGTCTCGGATGTCACTATTACCGACAAGGCCATCTCTGACCACTACTTCATCTCCTTCACCACCTCCACCCCCCTCCCCACCTCCACCAGACCCACCACCATCTTCTACCGCCCTTGGAAGAAGTTACCCCCACAATCCCTAACCGATGCCTTGGAGTCCTCTGAACTCCTCTCCCTCTGGCCTTCAACCCTCACCGACCCCTCTTCTCCTCTCTCCCTCCTCCACAATACCCTCTCCTCCACACTCGATACTCTTGCCCCCATCACTTCCCGCACTGTCTCCTACTCCCGCTCCTCCCCCTGGTACACCACCCACCTCCGCTCACTGAAAAGCCAGGTGCGGGCTGCTGAACGCACCTGTGTCAAATCTGGCCTAACGGTCCACCGACAAATCTGGCTGGACCTCCTCAAAATTTACCGCTCCACTCTAGCCTCGGCCAAGTCGTCCTTCTACTCCAGGATAATCCTGGAGGCGAAGAACAACCCCAGGCTACTGTTTTCCACCACAATCCGACTCCTCCGTCCCCCCCGCCACCCCGCGCAGGTCATCTCCTCCAACCTTCACTGCGAGGAGATGCTGGATTTCCTTGAATCCAAGATCAAGGGAATCCGCTCCGCGGTCACTTCCCCTCCAACTTCCACCCACCACCCACCCCTTCCCTCCCACACTCCGACTCCTACCCATCCTCCCCTACACACCTTCGTACCCGTTTCCCCACCCTCTGTCACTGAACTCATCCTATCCCTAAAACCAACCACCTGCTCCCTTGACCCCATCCCCACTCCACTCCTTATCTCCCAGCTCCACTTTCTTGCCCCACATATCACTGACATCATAAACCTGTCCCTCTCCTCTGGCTCTGTCCCCATTCCATTAAAAACTGCCATCATCACGCCCACCCTGAAAAAACCCTCCCTTGATGCGTCGCAGCTATCAAGCTACCGGCCCATCTCCAACCTCCCCTTTCTCTCCAAGGTCTTGGAAAGAGTTGTCGCCTCCCAACTGCGCTCTTTCCTTTCCACCCATTCTCTTTTCGAACCCCTTCAGTCAGGTTTCCGTGCTGCCCATAGCACAGAAACTGCCCTGGTCAAGGTCACCAATGATATCCTGACCATCTGTGACCAGGGCTCCCTCTGTCTCCTCGTCCTCCTCGACCTATCGGCAGCATTCGATACGGTCGACCACGCTATCCTACTCCACCGCTTGTCCTCCCACCTCAACCTTCAAGGCACTGTCCTTGAATGGTTTAGGTCGTACCTTTCTCACCGTCTTCACTTTGTCTCGACGAATGGCTTCTCCTCCACCCCCCGCACTGTCTCATGTGGTGTCCCTCAGGGCTCTGTCCTCGGTCCCCTCCTCTTCACCCTCTATATGCTCCCCCTCGGTGACATCATCCGCAGACATGGAGTTAACTTCCACATGTATGCGGATGACACCCAACTCTACCTTTCCTCCTCTACTCTCAACTCCACGACCACCGATGTCCTGACAGCTGCCTGTCCGACATCGAGTCCTGGACGAGAGACAACTTTCTTCAGCTCAACGTGCGAAAAACCGAGGCCCTCCTGATTGGCTCACGTCAGCGCCTCCGCACCTCAGGCGCTGACACCATCAGCATCCAAGGCTGCACTCTCCACCTCTCAAAGCCAGTCAGGAACCTCGGCGTTTTGTTCGACCCTGAGCTGTCCTTTCTCCCTCACATCCGCACCACAACTGGCACCGCCTTCCATCACCTCCGGAACATCGCCAGACTACGGCACTACCTCACCCCTCACGCTGCTGAAACCCTGGTTCACGCCTTTGTCACCTCAAGGCTGGACTATGGGAACTCTCTCCTCGCCGGCCTTCCCGGCACCTCCCTCCACAAGCTGCAGGTCATTCAGAACTCTGCAGCTCGTGTACTGTCCCGCACCAGGCTTCGGGACCACATCACTCCCACCCTCGCTCGCCTCCACTGGCTCCCCATCCCCCAGAGGATTGATTTCAAGATCCTCATCCTCACCTACAAGGCCATTCACGGCCTTGCTCCCTCCTACCTCTCCAACCTACTATCCCCCTACCTACCTGCCCGTACCCTCCGTTCCTCTGGCTCCGGTCTGCTCCACGTCCCCCGCCCCAACCGCCCTACCATCGGTGGTCGGGCCTTCAGCCCCCAGGCTCTGGAACTCCATCCCCCAGTGCCTTCGCCTTGCTTCCTCCCTTTCCTCCTTCAAGGCCGGTCTCAAAACCTTTCTCTTTGACCGTGCCTTCAGCTCCCCTCTCGACTCTTCCCCCTCCTCGCTCCCTCCCTTCCCTCCCCTCACCCTGACCATTTCCCCCCTCCTCTCTCCCTCCCTTCCCTCCCCTCACCCTGACCATTTCCCCCCTGCTCGGGTCATGACCCAACTGACGTGAAAGGCGCTTTATAAATGGAATCTTGTTGTTGTTGTAGCAGTCCAGTTTATTTCTGCCATCAAATAATTGCAGCTGTTTTACCTTATGTCAGATGTGTGTTAAAACCAGGCCAAGTTCCACATAAACCAGCAACATATGGAAATTCCTGTGTCTAGAAATGGGATGTCACTTCCCATGAGGTTCAAACCCTGCTAACCAATTTCTAGTGTATTAAAATAATAATGCATTTGATATATTGTCTTATCACATCATTGTTGGAGTCTCA